GGAGGGAGGGATAAAGAAAGAGAGATAACACTGCTGACAGGACACCTCAGCTCCCTGCAGGGCACCCTACGCGATGCTTCTAAAGCTTGAATTTTCCCCCCACAAGGCCGCATGATTAGAAAGCCATCTATTTACTTTTTTTTTTTTTTTTTTGGTAAAAGATAAAAGGCATTTTAAAAATATCTCCTTTAGGCTTAGTCATTAATGATTGATTTGCCAAGACATGAAGAAAGCTCTACGTGGGGCTCATTCAATTCTCAGATAAAATTAACTGAATAAACTCACCTGCAGTGAGTCTACATCAGTCTCCCCAAGATGGGAAGGAAATTACATTCTCCTTGCTCAGCTTGGAGGGGTTCTCACATCATAATAGAGCTTCTAAGGCACATGCACAGGACAGTGGCAGATATTTTTGGTTTTTAAGTAATTGCTGGTTACAGCTCCGTGCGTTTTCTGTGACCCAGTGGGCCCCCCTGCCCCCCACCAATGTTTAATAACATTTCAAAGATAAGTTTTCTAACCATAAGAGGGTTGGCTACCGTAAGGAGGATGGAAATAAACATGAAGGTGGGTCCGGGCTGGGCCAGGTGGCCACAGCAGGGACAGCTCACCTCGCCGGGCGGACACGGAAGTTGTGTAGCTGTCTTTCTCCTCGGCGGTGACCAGCACTTGCCGTCTCGAGTGTTTTGTTCATAGGTTGTCCCTGGAGTGCACCAACGTGGTCCCAAAATTCCTCCATCAGCGGGAGTTACCTGCAATGACCGTCTATTAGGGGCCCCCTTAGACGATGCCTGTACTACTCCATCATGAACAATTAGGAAAGGAGTCGCCCTAGCTGGTTTGGCTCAGTGCATAGAGCATCGGCCTGCGGACTGAGGGGGCCTGGGCTTGATTCTGGGCAAGGGCACATGCCTGGGTTGCAGGCTCGATCGCCAGTAGGGGGCGTGCAGGAGGCAGACGATTAGTGATTCTCATCATTGATGTTTCTATCTCTCCCTCTCCCTTCCTCTCTGAAATCAATGAAAAAAAATTTTTTTAAAAAAGGAGCCAACATGTGCATTCCTATTGATTCAATTCAGTGGCGATGTACTGAGCACTGGCCGTGCTGGACATATTGTGTATACAGTAAACGCTCGAGTTACAGGTGGGGGGAGAGCCTGCTTGACCAGCACGGGGCCCTGAACTCCGCCTTCTCTCTCACGTTCCTGAATGTGGCCGAGACAGCACAGCCGTGCACTGAATGGAGCTGCTCTGTGGGCCTGACTCTGAGTCAGTGGTTCTCAACCTTCCTAAGGCCTCGACCCTTTAATACAGTTCCTCATGTTGTGGTGACCCCCAACCATAACATTATTTTTGTTGCTACTTCATCACTGTAATTTTGCTACTGTTATGAATCGTCATGTAAATATCTAATATGCAGGATGTATTTTCATTGTTACAAATTGAACATCATTAAAGCATAGTGATTAATCAAAAACACAATATGTAATGATATATGTGTTTTCCGATGGTCTTAGGCGACCCCTGTGAAAGGGTCGTTCGACCCCCAAAGGGGTCGCCACCCACAGGTTGAGAACCGCTGCTCTAAGTAGATTTAATGGCACACGTACCGGTCATGTTCCCTGGAGGTCCCACCCGTAGGTCAAGGCCATTCCCCACTAGAATATGTGCCCACGTGGACGAAAAGGGGCCACATGCTGACCTGACCAGCTCAGGGGAGGCCTGCGTGGCGGCCTTGCAAACTCAGAGACCTACAGTCACCACGAAGGGGGTCTGAGAGGAAAACTTTTTTTTTTAACTGAAAGCAGTTTCTGGTGGGTAGTCATGTCCTAAGGCAGTATTTTCCCCATAAGGGTTAATCCTCACCTTCACTAGGCCTGTTGTCTTTTTGCATCTAAGATAACATGCCTGATTAACATGCCTTTGCAAAGACAAAGTAATTTTCCTTCTTCCCCCTTCACAGCACAAAGCCCCTCATTGTTACTGAGTTAATTGTTGACTGAACGATCGGGCACCCACCCAAGTTAAAAGAAGTGTCTATCCTTCACTCTTCACCCACTACCAGAGGTTCGCCCGAATCTACACCCGTGGATTTCACAGAACCGACTTAAATCTCCTCCTCGATTGTAATTTATAAAACAAGGTGAAACCTGCTTCCTGGCGATTGTGGACAGTTTGGCTCAAATAAACGCACACAAATTCTTTAAGGGTTGAGTGTTTCTCAGTTACCACAACGCCACTGTCTGCCGGTGGGTTTGGTGGTTGAAACTTTTTAAAAGTGAGTCCGTCTAGAACATCACCCAGTGGGTGCTGGGGTGGCAAAGCCTCCCAAGGGGGGGGTGTCCATTCCTGGGGGTGACAGGCCCGTGGACGGGTGACTAGAGGAGCACAGCGAAGAGCCACACGGAGCCAACACCTCCTACATCCACGCAGTCGGTCAGGCGCGCTGGAAGCTTCCAGAGGCTTCCGGCCGCGAGAGCCACTCACAGGCTCACTGAAGCCAAGTACCCATGACGCTCTGTGCTGGTTTGATCTACTTGCAAAATGAGAAAACAAAACAACAACCTACCCTTTTTTTAAGACCACCACCGTGTTCCAGAACATTCCGTTTCTTCCAAGAAGCCAGGGGCCAGGTGAGTGAGCACAGATTTGTCCACATTTGGCTGCTTCCGGAGCACTCTGCAGTCTGCACTCCGAGAGGCGCTGTGGTATTTGATAGGACGCTGGTCATCGGCTCCTGATTGTGTGCAGGTCAGGGCTTACCTCACCCAGCCCTGAGGTCCCACACCCAGGCCCCTGGCTCGCAGGATTCCTGCTCAGCAAATTCTTCTTTAAAACAAAAGGTAAACTACACACTTTTTCCTTATTTTACCTTTTAAATCACCATTTATCCCCCCTACACCCTCTTCCACCTCCATCCACCCTCCTCCCCCTGCTCAGTAAATTCTTATTTGAATTTAATGTCTTTGATGCTGACCACCGAGGGCCAGCAAGCTTTAGGAAAGTGACTCGTCATCCTTTATCGGCATTTCATAAAGAAAGACGGGCTGAGCATGTGAAGAGACGCTCACCGACAAGGACACACAGATGCCAAGAGACACATGAGAAGATGCTCAAGGGCACTATTCGCCAGAGAGCTGCCAACGAGAACCACAGCGAGGTGCCACCTCACACCTGTCAGAACCGCCGCCGTCAATAAACCAACAAACAGCAAGTGCGGGCGAGGATGTGGAGGAAAGGGAGCCCTCGGGCTCTGCTGGTGGGAGTGCATGCGGCGCAGCCCCAGTGGAAAGCAGTACGGAGGTGCCATAGACTAAGTCATTCCACTGCTGGGTATGTATCCGAAGAAAAGGTATGTGCACCCCTATGTTCATTGCAGCATTATCTGCAACAGCCAAGATATGGAAGCAACCTAGGTGTCCATCGATAGTGAGTGGATAAAGAAGTGGTACTTATGTACAATGGGATATTACACGGCAACAAAAAAGAATGGAATCTTACCATTTTCAATAACACGGATGGACCTAGCCAAGTGCCATATGATTTCCCTGATACGTTGAATCTAAAAAACAAAACAAGACAATGATGAAGCAACAAAACAGAAGCAGGCTCATGGATGTGGAGCTGATGGCTACTGAAGGGGAGGGGGAACGTGAAAAAGAAAAATAATAGACAGGCCGACAGAAAACAATTTAAAACAACTATAAATCCTGGGCAAGACAGAGCAAACGAGTGTGCGAGGCCCTGGGAGCAGCCCGAGGGCGGGAGGAAAGGAGTCTCACCGGCCTGGCCCCCACAGCGTCCGCAGGGGCCCCGGGGCTGAGACGCTGTCGGCCTCGCGTGAAGAAGCTGTGACACTGTGTGAGTGTACACAGAAGTGACTTCGGTTTCTACATGACATGATCAGTGTCAGAGAAGTTGTCTGTTTTCCCCCAGGTGAGGCCTGCTCTCCACAGCCATCCACTCTACCGACTGCGTACAGACGGCCCGTCCTAATCCAGCCGGGCGGTGTCACCTGAACACTGTGTGGACGCAAAGGGGCCACATCCTAACCCAGTGATGGCGAACCTATGACACGCGTGTCAGAGGTGACACGCAAACTCATTTTTTTGGTTGATTTTTCTTTGTTAAATGGCATTTAAATATATAAAATAAATATCAAAAATATAAGTCTTGGTTTTACTATGGTTGCAAATATCAAAAAATTTCTATATGTGACACGGCACCAGAGTTGTTAAGTTATTTTTCAAAATGCTGACACGCCGAGCTCAAAAGGTTCGCCATCACTGTCCTAACCTGACAGCTCAGGGGAGGCCTGCGTGGTGGTTTTGCAAACTCAGAGACCTAAAGTCACCACATAGGATGGTCTGAAATTAAAACTTTACCTAAAAGCAATCATGGTGTGTTGTCACATCCGAGGCCGGCATCTTCTGTGACAAAGGTCAATCTAACCTTAACTGAGCCTATTGTCTTTTTGCATCGACAATATCCTTGGAAGGTCAAAGTAGTTTTTCTTTTTCCAGACTCCTCAGGGCACAGGCCCTGGCTCTGCGAGACCACAAATCTCCTCATTGTTATTGAGTTCATTGTTGACTGTTAACTATCCTGCGTTCACCGAAAAGAAGTGTGTGTCTATCATTTTACTCTTTATCCAATCCCAGGGGTTCCCACCCCCTTTGCTTTCTCCCGCCTCCCTAATCTATCACCCATGGGTTTCAGGTAACTCACATCTCCTCCTGTGATTGTAATTTATAAAAATGGGTGAAAAACCGCCATTCTCCGGAGCATTATCCCAATCCACTGAGATCCTGCTTCCCGGTGATTGTCCACAGTTTGGCTCAAATAAACGCACAAAAATTCTTTACAGGTTTGTATGTTTTTTACATTAACATGGTCATGTGAACACGGGGTGTGGCCGTGCCAGCAGGAGAGAGTGGTCATGTGACTGTGCGGGCGTGGCCACATGGACAGCTGGAAGTGGGCACGGGAACAAGGAGGCGGGGCCACGGGAACACAGATAGAGCACCGTGTAGGACACAATGGTGGACTTGACTGTGTCCCAGTCCGATAGTAGGCAGCTGTCTCAGAGAACCAGGGGATAAACCAGGCTTCCCCTGGAGAAACTCCTTCTGGGTGTTTCCAATGAAATGAGGAACACACGGGTTTCTACTTGACCTTTTGGCAAAGTCACGCTCGGCGTCTCTTCACATCCATGAAGTCAGGAGGCCTTTGTTGACGCTGGCCAACCACCGCGACCGGTTCTGTGTGCACCCGTGCGGCGGACGGCTCTGCTGTGCTGCATCGGAACAGCCCGGGCCAACCCGGCTCTGCTCTCCCAGGCTTCCTCATGCTCGGTGTTGCCATGTTCAAGTTGGAAACTTCTCCTTCCGGGTTGATAAGAGCCTGGGGTCTGAAGACTTTAATGCGAGTTTCTGGGCAGATAAGTTATAACATGAAGGCGTGACCGGGCGTCGCACAGCAGTGAGGTCCTGGGGGAGTAGGGGGGCGTGTTCTCCCAGGGGGCGGACGCCTGGACACCACTGGGCTTCAGCACACCCCAGCGCGCCCCGAGGTGGGGGGACGGGGACCTCTTAAGTCTCACTGTGGTCTGTCTATACTTACTATTGGGCACCAAGAAAATATACACCCTTTCCCCCCCCCCCCAACCTAACTCAGCATTTTCTATTTGGTCACTGCCACAATACAAATACATCTTCTAGCCCTGGCTGGTGTAGCTCAGTGGATAGAGCGGCGGCCTGCGGACTGAAAGGTCCTGGGTTCAATTCCAGTCAAGGGCACATGCCTGGGTTGTGGGCTCGATCCCCAGTGAGGGGCATGCAGAAGGCAGCCAATCCATGATTCTCTCTCATCATTGATGTTTCTATCTCTCTATCCCTCTCCCTTCTTGTCTGAAATAAAAATATATTTTAAAAAAATAAAAATAAAATTCACTTTACCCCATTCGTGTCAGAGCTGTCCACAGAAGCCCTTAAAATGTAGACGGGAGTGTTATATATAAAATAGATGTAAGACATCTTCTCAAAAGGAGGATGTTTTCAACCATAAAACCATTTGTGGTAAACGTGTGCGAATTTACAAAGAAAAGTCAAGGAAAGGAGGAGCTTGGGTTTTACTTAGGGCTCCGCCCACACAGGCGAGTGACTGCCAAATCCATGGAAAGACAGCAATTCGGGTTCAGAGCTGGTGGCTCAGTGAGGAGCCCAAGGGTCCCACTGGGGATGTGGGTGTCTGCACATACATGTGACGTGTGCACATGTGGGTCTGCATGTGCATGTGTTTGTGTGTGCATGTGTTTGCGTGTGCCCATGTGAGCGCATGTGTGGCTCTGGTGGGTAGAAAAGGGGTGAGGGGTGAAGGACACTGGACACAGGGAACCGGACAGGACACGGAAGGTGCCCGCGTCTGGCCGTCACTGCGCCGTGATGGCGTGTGCGCCCAAGGGGGACACAGCTACTGGCACTTGTTCAGGAGCCCGGCCCAGGGCCACGTGTCCGAGTCGGATGCAAACTCTCTGGGCGTGGAAAGCTGAGCCGCAGGAGACCAGGCAGCACCTGATAAAACTCACGTTTGAGGAGCAGCCTGGGGGGCGTTGGAATCTGACCGGCAGGAAGGCGCCCAGATGCCAGCTTCAGCCCTGAAAGCCTGAGCGCAGCGGCCAGCCTCCTTCGCCGCGTGGCACATACACTCATCCCCAAAATTCTGCGGCACACCAACAATTGTGTTTTTGGCTGATCTGACAAAAAAGGGTAGACTTTGATTCGTTCAGACCAGAATGGCCATTGTTATTCTTTATTTGACAATCTGAGGGAAAGAGGCCAGTGCCCTGACTAAAGTCAGGTGTGGCATGTTTTACAAATTCTTTCATCCTGGGAAAGTCATACAGAAAATCACACACACACACACACACACACCAGAAGCCGTGCTCCTGTGGGGCTGACTGGTGCTTAGAAAGCCAGGGGCCGAGAGGCGCTCGGGCGTGGAGTGCGTCAGCGGGACGCGAGTCTGGTCAGTGACGTTCTAACCCTCAGTATCTCATCCCGAAGCCTTTTGAGAAAAATGAAGTATTTTTTTAATATATTTTATTGATTTTTTACAGAGAGGAGGGGAGAGGGATAGAGAATTAGAAACATCGATGAGAGAGAAACATGGATCAGCTGCCCCCTACACACCCCCTACTGGGGATGTGCCCGCAACCAAGGTACATGCCCTCGACCGGAATCGAACCTGGGACTCTTCAGTCCGCAGGCCGACGCTCTATCCACTGAGCCAAACCGGTCAGGGCGCAAAACAAAGTGTTTTTGTGTGATGTCACACACTAACACAAGGTTTCACCACATCCCTTACTTTTATTTACTACAAGGCAGTAACACCAGGTCCGCCCCTCGTCGCACTTCACCTGACGGCTCCTGCGGGCTCCCACGTCGGATCGACCGCTGGTAGAGAAGTGAGCTTTGCAGGAATTGTGTTCTTGCTAAAGTGGGTGATAAACCAGACCTTCTTTTTGTCGTCAATTTAATTACAAAACGCAGGATGAAAACGGGGGATTAGCATCCAAAATATGTTGTTTTTCCCCATTTTGGCAGAGTCCCGACGACTCAGAAACACGACGTGTCCTTATGGTCACGCCGTCCTCGCAGATCCGTAGGCGGCAAACATCTCCCGGGATTACTCGTCACCAGATGTTGTGCGTTTGCTCGAGGAGGCTGTTTCTTCTGTCCTGGTGTTTACTATGCACATCGTCTCCTCGCATCTGCTCACCCATAAAGAGGAACCTCAGACTGAGCTGTTATTGAAAACTCCGTCCAACACATTGGACGCAGTAACATGTGGTTAAGCGTCTACGCTAAATAAAAACGAGGCTAATCTGACTAGTCTGTACTTGCAAGCTTTTCACTTAAATCTACAAGCGCCATGAAAATCGCAGATGCCTCCACGGACTCCAAGATTACAAAATGAGCTGATGTTAAAGGACTTCTGTTAGAAATTCCGAGTAATGATGTATCGACTTAATTCTTAACCCCAAAGTGACACGATACTTTCATAGTGATGTAATCGAATATAATTTCAATGCAATTACTGTCTCTGCGCAATCGTCTGCAGTGACTTTGTTAAAAGGGGCAGCACCCGTGGGCATGCAGTGGGTAGAGACGTACACGTGTGACATTAGAGTTACGATCTTTCCGAGGAAAGTCGCTGTAGCACATTTGCGTGACCTGGGACTGCTCTGCTCCTCTTCTTGCAGTTTCGTGACAGGAAACTACCTCTAAAGAGGAGAGCAGCCCTGGCCGGTTTGGCTTGTGGATGGAGCGTCGGCCGGGCCCTGGTCGGGCACGTACAGGAGGCAACCAATCGATGTTTCTCTCACATCAATGTTTCTCTTTGTCTTTCCCCCTCCCTTCTACTCTCCCTGAAAATCAATGCAAAAATATCCTCAGAGGAGAATTAACCAAAATAAATAAATAAAAACAAAGAGAACACGTTCTTAGCGGCAAAAGAATGGGCTCCTTCCAGGAGAAACGTGTGAAGAGACGTTAGCAACGAAACTGTGCTGGGCCCAACCGGGTTCAAGTGAAAACAGCCGTGGGTCCTGGCGGCTTCCTCTGGGAGGACGAGATCCCACACGTGGCTCCTGGGCGTCCGGCCTGGGCCTCCGTCCGGGGCTCCCGTCTTGTCCAGTTCCCAGCACAGAGCCTGGCCCCCAGCAGGAGCTCAAACACGCCTGTGTGTGCACATTCAGGACCAAGGACTCGATTTTAGCACCAGGAGGTCCCCAGCTCCAGGGAAAGCCCCCAGGTCCCTCCCAGGCAGCGGGTCCCCCAGCGTTCCCACCCACAGGCAGAGCCCGGGGTTTCTCTCCTGTCACAGGGCGGGACAACTTCAGGACTCCAACCAGATGCGAATTTCCTTCGTCAGAACCACGTGAGGCTGTGCTCACCCTCCCAGCGCACCTGTTGCCTAGCTCACCCGGGTCTCAACGCCCCGGGTGAAGGTCTGAGGGGTAATTTCATATAGTGAGCAAGGAAGGTAATTATAGTGTGAAAATTCAAACGGATGGAGCCATTTGCTGAAGTATAATTATCTGAAATCATGAAGGATAATAATATTCAACAGGAAGTATAATTACCTGAATCATTAAGGATAATAATATTCCACAGGACAAAATTATGTTTTACCATGAACAGTTATGTTGATTTGTAAAATGGATATTGAAATGTACCTGTTATAAAAATATAAAGATACTATTTTAAACTGATAAGAACAGATACTACACTTGATCTTAGCCAAAAGGCCGAGAAGCGATAAGATACTATTTTATCCAAACCCAAAATAGCTAATCGTCAATATAAAATTCTCAGTAGAAAAGCCAACAAAGGGACTTTCTCCCTCTTAGTCACAGAATGCATATCTTCCGTTCAGATAAATATTTATTGATTCAACTGGTATGTACAGGGTGTCCCCAAAATGCATCCACACTTAGAATAAGTATTCATTCCAATGGTCTAAATCTGAAAAGAAAGAAACAGCCACTAAGCTATCAGGAAAAAGCGTGTGCACATTTTGGGGGGACACCCTGTAGGTACCAGGCATGTAACTGACTCAGTCTCTGCTTCCGAAAGAAAGGGAGTGAGTCCCACTCGCTCACAGGCAGCGCTGACCGGGACGAGTCCAGGGACTAGCCCAGATCTAAGCCACGGCGTCCCGGACAGCGCCGGGTCCCGCAGCAGGAGAGGGGTGAACAGCTGCCAGGGCGGGGCTGGGCTGTGACAGGGACTAGAAGCGAGCTGGCTCGGCTGTGGGGCAGAGGTGAGGGCTGGGTGGACGTGGAGGCAGAGGGAGCAGCACATGCAAAGGCCCAGCAAGCGGAAGGAACGCCCGTGCATTGGGACTTTGACGCAGCCATGACCTGGATGGTGGCATAAGCGTGTGGGTGATGCTGGTATCCTGACATATGAACACGGGAGAAAACCCGGTTTCAGGATGGAGGCTGCGATGCTGGTTTTGGAAATGGGAGCTCATCAGCCAAGCAGGAGGCAGACGCGGGGGTCTGAGCCGCGTGGCCAGGGCCCATCGTGGGGGGGGGGGCGGGGGTCTGGGCGGATGGGGGGCAGGGAACGATGTAGACCACAGAGGAGGGAGGACACCTGGCTACAAGGTGTGGACAGAGGAGAACATACCACAGAAGCTCCGTGTGCTCCCGAGGTCCTGGGGAGGAAGGAGAGGAAGTGGGGGGCTTGTGGGTGGGCCAGGCAGGTCTGTGGTCTGGGCACGGGGTGGAGGCTGGAGGTGGAACCAGGTGGCGGCGACCAGGTGCTCAGAGCTCCGGGCACAACCTGGGAGGGACAGACCCCAGGACAGGGGCCAATACGCCCACTTCACAGTAAGGGAACTGGACGCAAACGTGTTCATTTCTTCGTCTCAGCTCAGCATCTCCTCCTCCCACCCCAGTTACAGAGCAGCTAAATGTCTTCATGTGTAGCTCAGGGAATGTGTTTCTTCACCAGAATATTCTTAAGGCCGCCCTCACCTTAGCCTCCCTTCAAGTGTGTCTCATGGGACATCCTGGGAAGTGAACTGAATAAAAGTTGAAGAAGTTTAAACACATCTATATTTATGTATTTACACAGACACACAGACGTTGGGAAATGACGCAGCTTTACCACTGATATTTTCAATAAATAATAACACCTTTCACTTGGATCTCATTAAAATGTTCACTAGAGAACGAATCTCCTGATAAGATCAGATCACTCCCCACTTTATTTTTTTATTTTTATTTTTTTAAATCCTCCCCCGAGGATATTTTCCCATTGATTTTTAGAAAGAGTGGAAGAGAGATGGAAAGACAGAGAGAAACATTGATGTGAGAGAAACACATCGATTGGTTGCCTCCTGCACAAGCCCGACCAGGACCCGGGCCTGGGAGGAGCCTGCAACCAAGGTATGTGTCCTTGATCGGAATCGAACCCGGGACCCTTCGGTCTGTAGGCCGACACTCTATCCACTGAGTCAGACCAGATAGGGCTGTTCCCCACTTTAAAACAAGGGAGTATTGCTTGTGATGTCACAGACCTCACCAGAAATCCCACCACTGAAATCGAAGACGAGTCAGCAAGGACGAGAAACGTGTCCCCAAAGCGTAAGACCAACGGACAGCACGGACAGCACGTCGCCTAAGAGACCAGGGAGTGTCTCCTACAACCACACGCGGAGAACGGCCTGGCACGCCCTCACTAGGACAGCACACCCCTGCCTCAGGCCCTTCACGGAAGCAGCTTAGTCAAAATCAGAAAATGCGCTGAGTACAAATCTAACATACACGCAGGACACACTGCAGGGACGGCTCTCCACCAGCGGGCTCCACCACGGGAATGCAGACGGCCAGGCACACGGGCGTATGGGCTCCCTTAACTCAGCAGCATGTGGTACAGGGAACAGCCACCCAAGGGGGGAAAGACATTCCTATACCGAACAAGAGACATTTAAATCTGGCCAAATTCCCATTATTCACACAAGCAGCCATTACAAAGAATGTGCTGTATTTTTTACATCAGAAAAAAAAAATTTATGACTAGAAATATACTGGGTCTTAAACAACTTTCTTCGATATCACTTTTCTAATTAGAAGCACTAAGTTCTCTTCCTTAACTGAAATGATTACGTGACTATGCAAATTCAATGATGTCACGGAGAGTGACTAATAAGAAAATGAGTCTAGACCCCAATCATTCAAGTAAAAATGAACAGCCAGGAGAGGTTCATAGGGCGTCAATATACAGGGCCATTTTTCAACTATTTAAGCTGTGACTATAGCTACAGATGTTCATGTTTTTAAAGACAGATGTGCGAACAGGATACTTAACAGATTCGTTTTCAATAACTGGGAACCTGAACCTTCCCATCCACTGGAGTTCAAGGGTGGCGCATTGAGCACCCAGTATTTCTGAAAAAAAAGTTATTCTTGCTCTTCCCATTCTCTGAGTCATTATTCTAATACTTGGTGTCCGATGCGGACAAAACTTCTTGCAAATACAGGTCACTCAGGTTGTATCATACAATCAAGGCTCTCCTATGTTCACAGCAGCACGGTTTACCATAGCTAAGATTTGGGAACAGCCTAAGTGCCATCAGCAGATGAGTGGGTTAAAAACTATGGTCCATCCACACAATAGAATACTACACTGCTGTAAAAAAGAAAGAAATTTCACCATTTGCAACAGCACAGAGGGACCTGGGGAGCATTATGCTAAGCGAGATAAGCCAGTCCGAGAAAGATAAATATCACATGACCTCACTCATTTGTGGAATATAATGAACAACATAAACTGATGAACAAAAATAGATCCAGAGACTTAGAAGCATGGAACAGGCTGTCAAACCTCAGAGGGAAGGGAGGCGGGGAGTAAGAGATGAACCAAAGGACGTGCGTACATACGCAAAACCAATGGACACAGACAATTGGGGGGAGGGGGCATGTGC